GGCTGCCTCCATATCCTGAAGCAGCTCAAAATGTTTGCCTTTCAAGGTTCTTTTGACTTTAGGGAAGAGCCAGAATCACACTGCAAGATCTGGCGAGTGAGGTGGATGAGGACACACTGTAATGTTTTTACAAGTCTGTCTTTCCATCGGTGGCAGCATTCACTGTGGGTTTTAATCACACCTTGTAAAGACACTCAAGAAGCAGGACTTTCAGAACTGCTTCAGAAAGTGAAAAGAAAGATAAGACAAGTGTATTCAAAGTGAGGGGGGAGATTTTGAGGGGGATTCATGGCCAATATGTCTTTTACTGAAATTATTTTTTAATGTAAACATTCCCTGTATATTTTGATCCCATCAAATAGATGAATAATCCCAACACAAATTTCCATATGTGCAGGAAAATACACATCAAATCTATCACAGTCCTTATCCTGGGAAGGATGGGGGGCTGTGGGAAGAGGCTGAGGAGGGCTCCTGTTTTGCTGGCCTCTTTTACTTTCTGTACAAGAAGACATTCACATAGGATGAGTAGTTTTCCTTAACAGAAAAAACAAACAAACAAAAAACCATGAAAGCACATAAACAAATACAAGAAGTGCAGAGTGAGGACACCTGGGTGAGTTCACAACCCATGCTTTTCCTGCCGTATCACATGACCCCTCCTCCAGACCACCATGTTTGTGGAAACTACAAGTATTACTTACTGAGAGGAACTCATAAGACTTCTCCCCGAAGAGCCTGTTGGCTGTCCTCAGCAAGTACTTCGTGCCAGTCCTGTTCACTTCGTTGAGAAGTAACTGGAAGCCCAGGTGAACATTACTTCCATCGCCATCACTTTTATTGAAAGACAGCGCCTGAAATTAGAAACAGAATAGTGTGAGTACGACCTGAGCCCAGGAAATGGGTAAGCACCACATGCAGATCACCCCTTTGTTTTAGCTCAGATCCCACATGTCAAAAGTCTCATGTGTGCAGCAGATGGGTAAATGAGGGTGCTACACTCATCACTGACTGGATCCATGCACGGATGGGTTCACAGCTGAATGTGCTATTAGGAGGCCTGGCTGGAGGTAGTCACTGGGGTGAACCAGAACGGTCCATTCATGCTCCCAGCTCCTCCCTCCCTCTCTGCCTCCTGGATGCCAGGGTTGAGCACTTTTCCTGCTCCACACCCCTCTCCCATCGTGCGTCTGCCTTGGCGCCATGGACTAAGACCGTGAGCCCAAATAAACCTGTCCTCCTTGGTACTGTGCGTGTTGGTTACTGTGTCCCAGCAATGAACGTGACTGAGACGCTACCATCCAGTTCAAGACAAAAAGTGTCCCTCCCTGCAGCCCTCCACACCCATGCTCTTTGTGTTCACTACCTACAGACATGGCTGCCAACTATTCCTCCCAGCTCTCAAACACTGGAAGATACAGACCCTTGCTGCCCTGGGGTTGGGACTGGCTCTGTCACTGGCTCTGACCAACAGAATTCAGCTGAAGTGACACTACTCCAAGCTTGTGTCCTAGAAGACCTGAGAGCTGCCACGCTCACTGTCTGGTACTGGCCGCCATGATGCAGAGTCCTACTAACACGGCTGGAGGCCACATGGAGAGCCCAGGAGGAAGAACTGCTCTGCACAGGAAGCACCCAAGGCCCCACCCACAGCCATCACCAAGGCTCCAGATGTGAGGCCTCCTCAGGCCTTCCAGTCCCACTGCCCTCTGAAACAGCTACAGGAGTGACCCCAGCTTGCACCATGGGAGGAGGAGGAGAACTGTCTATCAGGCCGTAGAATCGGGGGGAATCATCCTTCATTGTTATTTCCAGCCACCAAGTTTTAGGGTGGTTTTCTGCAGCAACGGGTGACATGTGCAGCAGTGCAGAAGTGTCCCACCATAGCAAAAATCTAAACAAGGAGCCAGGCATGGTGGTGCACACCTGTAATCCCAGCACTCCAGGAGGCTGAGTCAAGAGGGTTCAAAGTTGGACCCCATCACAGGCTTATTTCAAGTTTAGTGAGACCCTGTCTCAAAATAAAATATAAAGGGCAGGGCATGGTGGTGCACACCTGTAATCCCAGCACTCGGAAGGCTGAAGCAGGAGGATCACTGTAAGTTTAAGACCAGCCTGGGCTACATAGTGAGTTCCATGTCAGTCTCAACTACATATTGAGACCCTGTCTCAAAAAACCAAAAAATAAATAAATAAATAAAATTTTAAAAATAAAAAAGGCTGGAGATGTAGCTCAGTGCAAAAGCCCTGGATTTTTAACCCCCAGTACCACCAAAAGCAACTTTTTTCTGTAAACATGGGTCTCCCAAGCAGCTAGAAGAAAAGGACAGCAGAAAAGCACTATAAAAGGGGCTGGAGAAAGGGCCTGTGGCATGCTGTGCTGGCAGAAGTGACGATGGTCATCTGGGGTGATGGAGAAGACAGGACATTTTCCCAACAACTCTCACATCTGGCTAAGGAGTCAGGGAAGAAAGTGGCTGCTTCTAGCTGCCTAGGACAGAGTATGGGAAGAGAGAGGTAAGCTAAAGGAGACACTGTTTCATTGTGAAGCAGAATTTAAAGCAACTATTCCCATCCCAGATCCTGTTAGGCAGAAAATAAAAATATTTCTTTATTCCCAGCCTCTTCAGCCGGCAAAGCATTACAAAAGTAAGAAATAGCTTCAAAGTAAAGGGCAAATCTTTGACCTTAGAAATGAGGGGAAAATCCACTTTGTTAAAATCTTAGGAAGATGAAGGTAGCACCTTCCAGACCCTCTAGACAAAGGGGCTTCCTAACACCCTACAGACATTGTCCCCAGCACCCTGGCTTCCAACACAAAAGGCAACCCTGTCTCCAGCAAGTCTGTGCATATGGTGTAGCAGACTATAAATTGATTAGAGAAAGCCCATGGCAGTTTTAAAGGGATTATTGGGCTTGGAAGTAAAAAGGAGAGATAGTTCAAAGAAGGGAAGGCCTCCAGGCTCCCAACTCTCTCAGGAAAAGAGGCAGGCTGAGAGAACAGCAAACACAGCCATTTCTTTCAGAAGAGGAGGGGAGCTGCTGCAAATACAGAGGGCAGAGCCACAGCCTGAGGGGAGCTGGATAGGAAGATGCCCAAGAAACACAGCAGAAGCCAATCAAGGAATATCCTTGCTCTCAGAGAACAGGACAGAAGCACAAGCCCCTGGCTAGGATTTGGAATCGCTACAGTTCAGTGACTGCAATGTGCCTCCCTTACCTCCTGCCATAGGCTGTGTCCCCTCAAAATCTCTGCATTGAAGTCCTACCAGTACCCCGGAACAGACCATACTTGGAGATACTGCTTTTAAAGGGACAATTAAATTAAAACGAGAGCGCTGATCCAATCTAACTGGTGTTCTCATAAGAGACTGGGACACAGACAAACACAAAAGGGAGACCAGGTGGGGTCACAGGAAAGTTGCCATCTATAAGCCAAGGAGAGAGGCCTCTGGAAAACCAGCTCTGCCCATGCCCTGATCTTGGACTTTCAGCCTCCAGAACAGTGAGAAAATACTGTGTAAGCCAGCCAGGTAGCCTGTGATGTTTGTTACACAGCCCTTGAAGACTAACACAACTTATCCCCCACCATTGTTGAAAGCAGTGTCCACAATGATCCTTTCTTTCTCATCTCACCATCCTGTGCTGCAGCAGATGTATCTCCGTAGTTCCCAAATCTCTGCACTCTAAGAACTGCAGCAAGCAGCTGCATTTCAAGAGCATCGATTGGTCCTGTCCCAGAACTCCCAGCAAGCCTGACCCTAGCATGAGATAAGACCTGAGGGTCTTGGAAGGGCAGGGGCTCAATACACCTTACCTGTGGGAGGGCTGAGAGCCATGAGGAGCCAGAGGGTAGACAGTGAGGGTCACAGGTGGCTCTGATGAGCCAAGCTTTCCATGTTCATACCCCAAAGCAGTTAGCAAAACCCAAACAACAGCCTAGGATCAACCCGAAACATCACTTTTCATCACGAAGGACCTGAGCTGTGTGGATGAAATCCTTCACTCCGCTACTCAGACACTACCTGTCACCTCCCGAAGACCTGAACTCGGGCTCAGCAGGGCGCCTTTCCTCTCTCCATCCCCACCTCTGTGACACCCATACAGCTACCATCCCTAGCAATCCCTCTGAGATCTGAAACTCGGAGGACCAGCCCAGTGGACGGTTACTGATATCCGAAGCACTGCTAGGTACCTGAGCCATCTGGCCAGCAGTGGTTCCCTTTGCTCCCAAGAAGACCATGGCCAGAGCGGAGGAGATGCTCATCGGTGAAAGAAACACATTTTTCGAGCTGTCTTCACCCAGAATTTTCAAAAGACTTATGGCGAAGGTGCCATTTGCTTCTAGCAGAGAATCCATGGTGGCAAGTCTGGAACGATGAATTTAAAATCAGGATCACATAGTTCAGCCTCACACATCACCTACATTTTCACTTCTTTATTACTCACCACTGATGTTCTGTCAGTGAACAAGCAGAGACATTCACAAAACTCAGTGTTTCTTTTGGGGCCCCCACATTATTTTGTTTCTAATATTCAATGAAAAAAACACCCTGGGATCGGACCACAATAGGAGTGGGGTTTTGCCATCAACATCTTTTGGAAAATACCAGGTACAGTCATTATCAAAGGGTTTTACCAAGAAAAGGGGGATGGTTAATTATATATTCACATATTTCTTTCCTTTTAAAAAGGTCAGCACCCCAAATGTGCTCACCTTTCCTGTAATAAATGGCAGTTAGTAGCAGAACACCTAGTGAAGAACACCTCGGTTTTTTAAAACCTATAGGTGATTTCCCTTGTAGGAAAAGGTGGGTTTGTTCGTGAATGAAGAAACAAGCCAATCCTGCTTCCTGAAGACCCCTATCTGCAATACTTCCAGTGAGTAGCACACCACTGGAGTCAGTTCCGGTAGTGGGGTGGAAGAAGGGCTTATTGGCCTCTGGTTCCGTGTCTGCATTCTTTGATGGTGCTTTTATGGCTTATTGTGTGGTTTGATAATTTAAAGAGCATTCAAAATAATAAATTCATTCACAAAGTAACACAAGGGAGACAAGTTTACTGGCGGGCTGTGGCAGACACAATCCTGGTCTGTGAAGCTGCAGGGCCCTGACTGAGGTAAATGTGGTGTCTGGGGACAGGGTGGCTCCAACTACATTCCTTTCCCAGAATTACGACCTGATGGGTCACTGGCTAATTATGACCAGTCCTGGTCTCCCCTTGTTCCTTCTGTAGGAATGCACTGCCTCCCTTTTCTGAGCTCAGCCTATGATAACACTATCACCAGATGTCTAACGTATACCCTGCCCCATCTCTTCCCATGCTTAAAATCAGTAAATACTGGAGGTCTTGGGTGCCCTTTGCCTTTGATGCCTGGATCAGCTCAGGCTATCCCAGATCCCCCTTTCTGTTTAAGCTGTTTCTGTGTCTTTCTGTCACCTTATGTCATATTGCCTTTCAGGAGACTGGGGCTCCAGGCCAGGGACCCAATATGACTCCATTTTAGGGAAAGCTAAAGTCTCAAAAGATAATGAGTCAAACTCACAACAATCACTGTGACCCCCCCCCAATTCTCCTAGGCAATCAACTCATGTGACAAAGCTCACAACTAAGGCCATGCTTCACTTAAGGGGACCCCTTTTGCCCCCCTTGTACTGCACTACAAGGCATTTAGCTATATGTTCTGAACACAGCGTCAGCACTCAGGGCATCTGTGAGGCCGTCATGATGGCACTTGGCTCACAGGGTCAAGAGCAGGGACACGGCTGATGGATTCGGAGGGGCAGATGGTGGTGTCTTCAGCTGGAATCACAGAATCACAAAACATCACGAGGAGGCCAAGGGCTCTAGAGACACCCATCAGCAACTCCCTGAAGTTCACAGAAGTAATGGAGCCACGCTGGGAGCAGAAGGGCCAACTTGGGGCCAATCTCTGTCTTTCAGACACTGTTGGGGAAGCCAGTAACTTCCAGAAAAGCCTGAAAGAACCAGGTGAGAGAACAAGAGACAGTTGAGGGCCTGATGAGCCAGGAAGTCTGCAAGGACCTGTGACCGAGGGAGCAGGCCGATCTGCTCTGAGACTACTCACAAATATTTACTAACTTCCTGTGGCCGCAAATGTGAGCACTCTGAGGAACTCCGAGTGGTGCCCAAGCCGGGCATGGAAAGCCAGAAAGGAAAGAAAGGAAGCCATAAGTGTGGATGCCTCAGGGCACCAGGCAAGGCCGGGGCACCTACCCAGGGACTTGGAAAGAGAATGACAAGTTAACCCTTCCTTCCCGAGCATGCCTGGGCATCTGTAGCTGCGGCCAGCTGAGGTCCAGGTCCTAATCCCTGGAACCGTGGAAGTTCCCACAAGCAGCAGAAGAGACTGCAACTATGAAAAAGGAGCTTAAGGTGGGGAGATCGCGCTGCCTTATTCAAGGGCCCCTACATGCAATCATATGTAGCCATGTAAGAGGAGGCATCGAACTAGACAAAAAGGAAAGAAATGAAATGAAACTCAGAGAGACAGGATCTCTAGAATAAAACACGTTAGCCAGGAAGCAAACTGATGCAACCCAGGCTGTGCACACGATGGAAAATAAGACACAGAGAAAAGGGGTCCAAAGGGAACTTCTAAAGGCACAGATGCAAATTTTCACAAAATTCCCATGCAAATTTCACTTTATAACCCTGCCTACTGTACTGGTGCAGAGACCCCTCTATGACCCCTCTTCCAGCACAGCCACACCTGGGAACTCACAACAGCATCAGCCTGCTACTGATACAGCCGCTGCCACCGGGCTCCCCCAAGCCACGTCCTCATGTCCTCCGCCACTGTTCTGCTTGTGCTCTCTTGAGCCTCGTTCTTGGCAGGGAGCCACAGCACCTCTCTCTGAGCTCCCCCTCCCTGTGACCTACAAAATACCCCACAGTCGGCCTGTAAGAGGAGAGGCTGCTCGGGTCCCGGTGCCAGCGTGGGCCCTGTCAGGTTTGTTCTGCAACAAACCTGTCCTGCAGAGCTCTGACCTCTACTTCTTCATTTCCTTTTTCCTAAGTCTCCTGGAGTTGAACTTCTCTTAGGTGACCATGCCCTCTCTGCAAAAGCAAGGGAGCAGGGTTGCCTGGCTGTGGCCACTGTCCCATCCTGGCTGCTCTTTCTGTAGCCAGACAAACCCAGGATGGGAGTTCTGGGCTTCAACCTGACCTGCTCTGAAACTGATGACACTTTGGCAAGGTACTAAACTTCAATTTCCAGTAGCCTGGTGTCTTTCTTTAAAATGAAGTTTTATTCGGGTTTTCCTCTGTCTGAACTGCAAAACCCTACAGCACAGGCTCAGAGTCTTCTGATTTCATGTTTTGGGGCTTTCGGCAGCTTTGCAGAACTGCTGAGCTTCTTGTTTACAAAGAGTATTGGTGGAACGCAAACACCACTGAGTGCTTTTGTGCCTTCCTAAAGTTCTTCTTGTCTGAGCTTATTGGTGGAGTCGGGGCTTTTAACAAACAATGTAGTTCAACTAACTCATGCTCGCATTGCCCTAAAATGGCTAGCGGGATTGTCTTTAAAATTGGTTACTTTATAGTGAGCTGTTGGTCTCAAACATCCTAGCTTTGTGGCAAGAAGAGGACTCCACAGGCCATGCTGAATTTTTCTGGTCCAGCAATGTGGCATCAGTCCCCCTCCCTTCCTGGATTCCTTTAGTGGTGTTTAAATGATCTGAAGGCTCTGATGCTGACTGAAGCCACAGCCGCGCTGTCAGGCACATCTGAGACAAGCAGGGATGGACATTTCAGCCCTTCTCATCTTGTGCTCTATATCAGATCTCTGTTGAAAGTTGTGATACATCTGACTCCTCCAGAGCATGATCCCTTAGAGGCTTTCATCATGCACTGTTGTGCTGTACTGCTCTTCTCTTTCATTATACACAGGACGGGTCTGGGACCAACCAGCGTTTGCTGCCGCCTGGCTGACACCACTGCGGTTTGGACCTGTCACTCTCAGGATGCCGCACAGCGTCTCCACCAACATGTCCCCTTTCCAATAACCTCCTCGTTGTGGTCCCATGTCTTCCCCCTCTATGGCTCACTCCCTTCTGGTGGAGCAAAATGTCCCAAAGCTTCCTAAGATGGAACACAGACACCCTGATTTCTTGCACACCACAAACACCTTGATTCTAGCATCTCATGTCTCTGAGAGCCCGGCAGCATCTACACTGGGCTGTATGCGACGTTACCTCCAAAGTCTTAAGCCATCGCTTCGACGCTTCCCAGCCTCCAGCATCACTGTTGTGAGAAGCCTGCCAACATTCTGACCCCAGGTCCATCTCCAGCTCCCATCCCTATACTTTGGAAGCTGATAGAATTGTGTCCTCGTCACTGATACTGGGAAATGTCCTTTGTTTCATTGGCCCTGTCCTTCTGGGGAGCCTGGTCATTCATTTTTCTGAGTGTCTGGATAGCCCTTTCCATCTATCCCTTCAAGAACATTTCCTCTCCACTCTGCAAAATAATTTAAGACACTTGCTCATTTCTTTCAGATTCCCTCTGTTCTCTTTTGGTACTAAAACGCTTGGCCTGACCTCTGCTAGGGCTCCCAAGCACCATCAGGCACAGAAGGACTCTGGGTGCCACCCCGGTGTTGCCTTCGGTTGCCCGAGTGGGGAGGACCTTGGCACATCCATTACCTGACCCCACACACGCCCCGGTACACAAAACCAAAGCTCCGCTCACACCTCCTTCCTGCTCCTGCACTTACGTCTGGATGAAGGTCGGTCCCACTTTCTGAAAGACAGCCATGATTTTACATCTCCACCTTTCTATTAGTTTTTCATTAATTTTGCTGTTGCATTTGTTGACTTCCAAGGACACTTTCTTGCTTTCTGATGTCCTTTCTTTTCAGTCTTTGGTTCTGTGTCCTTTTTTTTTTTTTTTTGGTACTGGGGATCAAACGTGGGACCTTGCACTTGTGAGACAAGTGGCAGCACCACTAATCTAAATCCCCGGTAGAAAGTGAATTTTTAAGTATCCATTTTTTTTTTTCAGTCTTTGGTTCTACTTCTTGGAGAACACTGATCACAACTCACTGTGTTCTCTTCTGGGCCCAGCACATCTTTGGGGTCCTTTTATTTTTGCGAACGCTGCTGGCTTTGTTTTAGGTGATTCTCTCTCTATCACACCTAGGCTGCAACCTACAATGTCAGTCCATACTTAGAGGAAAACACGAAGTTTGCTGAAGTTTTGTTCATGTGCCTGAAATGTCTGAGCTGGGGACTTCTCCAAAAACAATCACTGCGCAACAACTCCTGGTCTCCCATCTGTGAGTCATCAACAGCATGACTTCTGTTTTCTTCTGAGGCAATCAGGGAATTAAAAGTACTTTTTGCTTTAAAAAAAAAAAAACAAAAAACAACAACAACAAAAAACACTCTACACTTGGGTGTGGTGGTGCATGCCTGTAATCCCAGCACTTGGGAGGCTGAGACAGGAGGATTGCTGTAAATTTTGAGACCAGCCTGGGCTACATTGTGAGTTCCAGATCAGTCTCTACTACATAGTGAGACCCCCCTGTCTCAAAAAAAAGACTCTACACTTGGGTCATAGATAAGTAAAATTAAGGAACAGAAAATAGAACAAAACAACTTTCATTCTATAAAACTTTTAGGCAAACTCCTCAGCCTGCATGTAGGTATATCAGTCACTTGGGGAATATTTGTCTAGCATGTGGCAAAACAAGATTTCTTACCTAAATTCTCCTGGCCTGTCTTATTATCTTCAGGACAGAGGACACCAGAGTAAGAGGTTTAGGGCGATGCTCAGCTGTGACCTATGGTCACTTTGGTTCCTCCAGAGATCCCACTGTTGAAATTGCCCTCGAGTCATGAGGGCTCTTCCCGTGGACACTAAATTGCCCCTCAAGTCTCAAGGACTCAATCTGAGCTATGAGAGCACCCCAGCCAATCCTTCAGACCTGGCCTCCTGCTTTCTTGGGTGGGCCAGTCTTATCTTCCTTGTCAGGGTGGGCTCCGCTCTCCCCTGTCTTCTGTCTGACTTTCCCATTGCGGCTTCTGCCTGTGAATTCATGCTGCCAACTTACTTTAATTTCCATTATCACTGAAGGAGGATCCCAGCTACCAGGGACACCTGCACTGGGATCCACAGGAAGTCGCTTTTCTACTGAGGCTCTTGGGGCCTGGGAGCCCTGATCCCTAATCCACTGATTTCAGCCCAGGGCCTCCAGTGTGCAAATTTACTTATGGATAGTGTTGGGGATTGCACCCAGGGCCTTCACACTGAAATACACCCCCAGGCCATTTTTATTTTTGTTTTAGACAGGGTCTCAGAAGTTGCTAAATCTAAATCACCAAGGCTGGGCTGGAGATTGCACCTGCCTCAGCCTCCCCTTGTGCTGGGATTACAGGCCTGCACCACCACACCCACCTTGCAAACTAGTTTTGTGAGAAGAATTAAATAAAACTTGAATACTTAAAAACCTTATTTCTTCAGTTATTACTCAGTCCCATCTTTCAATTGTGAACTACATGCCCAAGTAGTGAATACCAGGTATTCAAATCCTCGTTTTGGTCCTGAAACATGAATTTGAAAATAATCCCCCACTATTACGTGACCCTAAACCAATGTTCAGGTTCACTATGAAATTATATATAAACCCTTTAACAATCAGGTATAAAAAGATACAATCCTCAAAAGAAAAAGATCCAAATTTAAAGTTTACCAGTCACTAAGATATTCTAAACACAAAAGAAAAATTACAAACAAGCTGGGCGTGGTGGTGCACTCCTGTAATCCCAGCACTCGGGAGGCTGAGGCAGGAGTATCCCTGTGAGTTTGAGACCAGCCTGGACTACATAATGACTTCCAGGTCAGTCTCAACTACATAGTGAGACCCTGTCTCAAAAAAAAAAGAAAAGAAAAGAAAAGAAAAGAAAAGAAAAGAAAAGAAAAGAAAAGAAAAGAAAATTACAATCTAGTGAGATTTTTAAAACAGCACCTTCCTCTTAGCTGTACAATGGCTGTGCCTATAAGAAGATGCTATGGTTGGCTCCTATTACAAATTTAATGCTTAGGAGGGATTTCCCAGCACCCAATTCCTTAGCTGCAGCAAAGAAGATGGGAAAGATAATTAATACACATAGATAAATTCATCATAGAATTCATTATAGAATTATAAAATTATTCACTGCTTTAAAAACAATTAAAAAAACAATTTGTAATCATTAACATAAAAACTGGACAGGCAAGTCTTATTAATTAGCAATGTTACATTTTTTAAACAAGTCTAGTAAATCCATGCTAGGATTTTTCCCCTATAGCCTCACTAGTAACTTTTGGCATTTAATGTTTATAATTGATTTTATTTAATTGATTAAGTCATAATTTTAAAGACATCACTATTTAACATGCTTCTTTGATTAATGATACCTTCATTTCCTACAATTGAACCTTTTAAAAGTTGGTTTAATGGAAATTTAAGCTCCTGCTCTTCCCTATCTCTTTGCCCATGTGCTTGTGTGTGTGCGCGCGCCCGCGCCCGCGCATGTGTTCGTATGTGTGTGTGTGTGTGTGTGTGTGTGTGTGTGAGGGGGGGGGGGGAGAGGGAGAGAGAGAGAGAGAGAGAGAGAGAGAGAGAAGAGAGAGAGCTGAGCTGCAGCTGTCTAATATACAAACAGGGAAATCACCATTATTTTCTTTTTCTAACAGCTCCTTGGCCTAATCCCATCCAGCAGGCTTGAAGTATAAGCACCTAGTTTTTCATGAACTCCACCTACTCACTTGGGTGACTCTTTATTTTCAGACATAAGGAAAAATATGGTGACTCTGTTCTGATTTTGTTCTACTGTTGCTGGCCTAAATTAATTGTCATTCGCTGAACTCTAATAAAACACCATGGATTGGAATGGCCTTATATATTGCGCATAATTTTACATATAGTCATTCCTGGTACTTGAAGGGCATTAGTTCTAGGACCTCCAAAGATTCCAAAATCCCCAACTGCTCAATTCCTTTATAGAAAACCACACAGAATTTGATATTAACTTTGTACTTCCTCCTAGATTACTTACAATACCTAATGCACTGCAAAGGCTATAAAAAGCAGTTGTTATACATATCGTTTTGGGGACTAAAGGCAAGAAAAGAAAGTCTGCATATGCTCAGAACAGATGCAATCTTCCCTAATTTTTTCATCTACTGTTGGCCATATCTGTGGACAAACTTCGGAGCAATCTGTACTTGCTTTATGGATCCAAGTATGCTCCAAAAATGCACCCTTTCTCGGCAGGGCATCAGGACAAGGGCGAAGTGATTCAGGTTAAGGCTAGGGCTGACGTTAGAGTAATCCAGGGGTAAAGGAGAACGCTAGGCCATGCCCCTAACCTTACAGCACTCTTTCCTGTGAATCACAGAGCATGTACTGCGCCCAGCCCACAGGCCACGGATCCAAGGGCCACTCACCAATCCCAGCTCCGTCACGGCGGCCCTAACAGGCACGACCTGCCTACTCTGGAGGGGCACAGTGGCTCCCACCCAAGCAAAGAAGTGCCAAACGCCATCCAGCTTGGCCCTCGTCTCCCAGTATTCCCGACACCATGAGAACGTTAATTTTCCACATTTCCGTTTGCCAAAATCGAACTTGAAAAGGGGAAAAGAAAGTTGCTAAACGCTAATTTCATCCGGCACTCAGATCCCAGACCATTAGAACGGGCCGTTGGCCTTGAAGACCCCAAACCTGATAACGTTTTGTCAGCAGCGCGTTTAGATCCCGGGGGTCCTCAAGCCCCGCGGGCCCGGGTCCTGCGCGCACCCCGGCGGGGAG